CATAGCACTCTACCCAGAGCAACAGCTTGAGGCTCTGTCTCAAAAAAAAAAAAAAAAAAAGTTGTATTTTTCAACTGCTACATCTTATGAATGAGTTATTCCATACTCGCCTCAAAGAGGCCAATGAGTTTGCACTTACTCTTTATCTCCATGAAAAATAGTTTACAAGGCCTTCAAGCATAGTGACTCAGACCTGTAACTGCAGCACTCTTGGAGGCCAAGGTGGGTAGATCACTTTAGCTCAGGAGATCAAAACCAGCCTGAGCAAGAGCAAGACCTAGACCTGTAATTAAAATTAGCCAAGTGTCGCCTCAGCTAAGGCATCAGCCACATACACCTGAGCTGGCAGGTTCGAATCCAGCCCGGCCTGCCAAACAATGACGGTTGCAACCAAAAAATAGCCAGGCATTGTGGCGGGCACCTATAGTCCCAGCTACTTGGAAGGTGGAGGCAGGAGAATCGCTTGAGCCCAGGAGTTGGAGGTTGCTGTGACCTGTGACGCCAGAGCACTCTACCAAGGGCAACAAAGTGAGACTCTGTATCTAAAAAAAAGTTTACCATTCTTTTTTTGTGAGACAGAGCCTCAAGCTATCCCCCTGGGTAGAGTGCCGTGGCATCACAGCTCACAGCAACCTCCAACTCCTGGGCTCAAGCGAGTCTCCTGTCTCAGCCTCCCAAGCAGCTGGGACCACAGGCGCCCACCATAGCACCCAGCTATTTTTTGGTTGCAGTCCTCATTGATGTTTTTGGCAGGCCCGGGCTGGATTTAAACCCACCATCTTAGGTGTATGTGGCTGGTGCCTTAGCCACTTGAGCCACAGGCGCAGAACCAAGTTTACCATTCATAAGTCACACTAACACAGTAATTTTTTTTTTTTTTTTTTTGAGACAGTCTCGTTGCTCTTGGTAGAATGCCGTGGTGTCACAGCTCACAGCAACCTCAATCTCTTTGGCTTAAGCAATTCTCTTGCCTCAGCCTCCCAAGTAGCTGGGACTATAGAAGCCCGCTACAATGCCCAGCTGTTCTTCTGTAGTTGTCATTGTTGTTTAGCAGGCCCAGGCCAGGTTCGAACCTGCCAGCCCCAGTGTATGAGGCTGGTGACCTAACCACTGTGCTATGGGCACCAAGCCTACACAGTAAATTCAAATTCTACCTAATATAGCTTATAATCACATTTGATCAGGGTGAAGATAATGTACACATATACAGAGAATTGTCTCACAACTTTTCCTGTCTACTGTACAACTATTTACAGATTTTGATTTTTTAATACATCTTTCAGGAAGAGTCAAATGAAAAAGAAGCAATTTTACAATTCATCCTGCAAAGCAATTCTGCAAATAAGAAAGAAACATACAACAGAACCTCTGTAAGTTGACCAAGGAACTGTAACAAACAGGTTGACATATGGAGATAGTGAACATAAGGAACTAGGCCCCTTGTACTGACTTGTAAATGTCGTGCATTTCTGATCTATAAAAATGAGGTCAACACAGGGTACATGTGAAATTTACTGAGCGTAGAATATAAATGTCTTAACACAATAACAAAGAAAAGCTATGAAGGTTATGTTAACCAGTTTGATGAAAATATTTCAAATTATATACAAAACCAGCACATTGTACCCCATGACTGCACTAATGTACACAGCTATGATTTAATAAAAAAAAAATTAGGTCAACTGAAGGAGGTGGTCAATGTAGGAAGGTGGTCAGCTATGGAGGTTCTATTATGTTCCACAAAGATTGGGAAAAGAATACATACATTAAATTTAATTGTAGTTCCAGTGGGAGCAGCTGTAAAACTACTTGGCCCAAAAAGGGAACCAGATGTGCTGCCAAAAGGATTAGAGGTGGTATTTGTAGTTCCAAAGAGTCCTCCACTGCTGGTACTAGTTCCAAAATCTATAAATTAGAAAAACGAGATATTAACAGTAAAGAACTTAAGAATCTATAAAGTATTTTGGGCCAGGCATGGTGTTTTACACCTGTATTCCTAACATTTTGGGAGACCAAGGTAGGAGGATACCTAGAGCTCAGGAGTTCAACCCCAGCCTGAGCTTTTGTGCCATATCAAAGTACTGAAAAAAAAGAAAAGAAGAAAAAAAGCCTGGGCAAAGCAAGATCCCCACCTCTACTAAAAATAAAAAAAAACTAGCTATGGATGTTGGCACATGCCTACAGTCCCAACTAAAGCAGGAGGACTATTTAAGTTTAGGAGTTTGAGGTTGCCGTGAGTTATGCTGAGACCATTGCACTCTAGCCCAAGTGACAGAATGAGACTTACCCTGCAAAATTACAAAAGTAAAACAATTACAATTACAATTGGGCTATGATTCTAGAGCAGTAATATTTTCATGTCTCAAGAATTTTATCAGCAAATATATTCAAACCAAGTATGTCAAACAGACACAAACTTTTTTATTTTTTTGAGACAGAGCCTCAAGCTGTCCCCCTGGGTAGAGTGCCATGGCATTACAGCTCACAGCAACCTCCAACTCCTGGACTCAAGCGAGTCTCCTGCCTCCGCCTCCCAAGTAGCTGGGACCACAGGCACCCGCCACAACACCCGGCCCGGCTATTTTTTGGTTGCAGCCGTCATTGTTGTTTGGCGGGTCCAGGCTGGGGATTTGAACCCGCCACCTTAGGTGTACGTGGCTGGCGCCTTAGCCGGTTGAACTATAGGCGCCGAGCCCAGACACAAACTTTCAGGCTCACAATTTTTATTTATTATTTTATTTTTGAGTCAGTCTCACTTTGTCATCCTTGGTAAGAGTACAGTGATGTCATAGCTCACAGCAACCTCCAACTCCTGGGCTTATGCGATTCTCTTGCCTCAGCCTCCCAAGGAGCTAGGACTACAGGCGCCCGCCACAACGCCTGGCTATTTTTAGAGACAAGGTCTCACTCTGGCTCAGGTTGGTCTTGAACCTGTAAACTAAGGCAATCCAACCGCCTCGGCCTCTCAAGTGCTGCGATTACAGGCATGAGCCACCGAGCGTGGCCCAAGGCTTACAACTTTTAAATCAAACAAAGTCTGCTTTGTTCTGGAAGGCTGAGGCAGGAGGATTGCTTGAGGTCAGGAGTTCGAAACCAGCCTGAGCAAGATCAGAACCTGTGTCTCTACCAAAAATAGAAAAGATCAGTCCGACATGGTGGCACAAGCTAATAGTCCCAGCTACATGGGAATACGAGGCACAGGGATCATCTGAGCCCAGAAATTTGAGGCTGCATTCAACTATGATAATACCCTTGCAGTGTACCCAGTATGACAGAGCCTATCTCAAAAAAGAAAGAAGAAAAAAACAGAGAAGAAAAAAAGAGAAAAGAAAAGTGAAATGAGGAGAGAAAAGGAAAGGGGAGGAGAAGGGGAGGGAAAAGGTGGAGGGGAAGGAGAGGAAGAGGGAAGAGGAGAGAAAATAGGAGGGGAAAGGGAAGGGGAGGAGGGAAGAGGGAGGGAAAGGGGAGGAGGGAGGAGAGGAGAGAAAAAGGGAGGAGGGGAAAAGATCTCAACTGTTAGCTCAGTGTCCTTGAACCCTTTCCTGGGCATACTTAGAAGGCAAGCTACCAAAAAATACTATTTTGTTTCATCATAAATTTTATCATTTCTCCTTTTCTTAGTAAGACTAGATGCTGAATGAACTTACCTTTCTGAAAACATCTTTTTTCTTTCTTGAGACAAAGTCTCACTTTGTTGCCCAGGGAAGAGTGCCATATCTCACAGTAACCTCAAACTCTTGGATTCAAGCAATCTTCCTAACTCAGCCTCGCAAGTAACTGGGACTATAGATGCATGCCACAATACTAACTAATTTTTCTATTTTCAGTAGAGACAGGGTTTCACTCTTGCCCAACCTGGTCTCGAACTTAAACAAGGGTCATAATACGTTTTATTTACATGAACTATTAATATATACATACATAATCAAAAGATTTAGAAATACAAGTAGTCCTGTTAGGGAAATCAAACATAGGTTAATATAAAATTACATACAAAAATAATGAAACAAAATTAGTAGGCACTGTCAAGTCATTTTATAGAAACTGATAAACAGTAGATCCTCTGATTTCCTTACTTTTCCAAAAAGCTGAGCTTAAAGAAAATATTACAAGCTGGGCACAGTGGCTCACACCTATAATCCTGCACTCTGGGAAGCTGAGGCGGGTAGATTGCTGGAGCTCAGGAGTTCAAGACCAGTCTAAGCAAGAGCAAGACCCCATCTCTAAAAACAGCTGCCCATTGCAGCAGGTGCCTATAGTCTCAGCTACTCGGAAGGCTGAGGCAAGAGGATCACTTGAGCCCAAGAATTTGAGGTTCCTGTGAGCTAGGATGCCAGGGCACTCTAGTAAGGGCAAAAAATGAGACTGTCTCCAAGGGGAAAAAAAACATTACATACAAGTGAACTTAACTGTTATTAAGAAATATTATTTTTCAAAAACATGAAGATGGTACCTTTTTTTGAAGGCAGTGTCTCACTCAGCCCAGACTAGAATGCCCTGGCCTCAGCAATATCAAACTCCTGGGTTCAAGCAACCCTCCTGCCTCAGCCTCCCAAGTAACTATACTGGCACCCACCAAAACACCTGACTGATTTTTTCTAATTTCTCTTGCTCAGAAAGCCAGAGTCTTAAACTGCTGAACTCAAGGGATCCTGCTGCCTTGCCCTCCCAGAGTGCTGGGATTATAGATGTGAGACACCAGGCCATAAGATGCTACTTCTAAAGAAGTTCTACATATCATGATAGAAATGTCAGTAAGCTTGGGGCAGCGCCTATGGCTCAGTGGGTATGCCGAGGGTGGTGGGTTCAAATTCAGCCCCAGCCAAATTGCGGCAAAAAAATAGCCAGGGGTGGCGCCTGTG